GTGTTTGTGTTTGTGTTTGTGTTTGTGTCTGTGTGTGTGGTGTGTGTTTGTGTTTGTGTTTGTGTTTGTGTATGTGTGTGTGGTGTGTGTTTGTGTTTGTGTTTGTGTTTGTGTCTGTGTGTGTGGTGTGTGTTTGTGTTTGTGTTTGTGTTTGTGTTTGTGTTGTGTGTGTTGTGTTTGTGTTTGTGTTTGTGTTTGTGTTTGTGGTGTGTGTTTGTGTTTGTGTTTGTGTTTGTGTTTGTGTTTGTGTTTGTGTTTGTGTCTGTGTGTGTGGTGTGTGTTTGTGTTTGTGTTTGTGTTTGTGTTTGTGTTTGTGGTGTGTGTTTGTGTTTGTGTTTGTGTTTGTGTTTGTGTTTGTGTTTGTGTTTGTGTTTGTGTTTGTCGGGAGCGAGGATTAGTTGGAGTTTGCCTCACTTCAAACATGAAAGCCAGGGCTTCTGTTTTGCAGGTCTTGGGATTCTCCCAAGGTGATACGTAACTAAACAGGAGTCAGGTCTAGAGCGAGCTTTTTGGCCAGCAAACAGGATGGGCACGGGGGGGGGGTGTTCAAATCAATCGTTTCTTTCCTGCGGTGCGCGGAATGCTGGTCAGGACACCGCTTTGCTTTGACTTGAATCTTGTTTGATGGCCGGTGCAAGAACCTAGGAGCACTCCAGCAGGCATCAGTTTGTAATACCCAATTTGTGACAAACCCCCAGCCTTGGACGCGACAGAACCCCCAGCCCAGGGGGCCGTTTTTGTACCTTTCTCCCTGCGCCAGGCTCTTCTCTTGGACGTGCCCGAGGACGCGCTTCAGCAATGCGTGGCTCTGGCGGCCATTTCGCACTGCCCAAAGAGGCGGAGGATCTGGCAGCCCACAGTGGCGCAAAGACGTGTCACGCAATGTCGCGCAAAGAATCCGCAGGTGTTGCCCTGGCTGCTGTGCATCGGGCGCCGTTCGCACTGGCACTAGCTATCTCAAACCGGATGTTTGGGAAACACGCCTTCGGATGAGAGGGCTGCCGGAACTGGCAGATGACTTGTGCGACCAGCGAGAGCACACTGAAGCTACATGAACGTACCCAACATGCATGTGCTGTCGATCATCGTTGTTTGTTGTTGTTTGTGTTTTACGGAACGTGCAACTCCCTAGGTCACTCAGGTCCTTGCCGGAAGGCACACGTGTCCTTATCTTTTTGCCTGCCCTCAAGCGAGATGAACTAGACTTGCTTCAGCTTCGCTCGGGATAGGGCGTCCCTCCGCGCGTCCCTCAGCTCGCCTAAGGAGCAAGGTGGGGTTTGCGCGCTCGCTGGGCAAGAGCACGCCCAGCGCCCGGAAGAGCGGAGTTTGGAAGGAGGACACGCCGCTCGTGGAGGAGGGGAAAGCCTTGGCTTTTTAACACTTTGTGCCCCAAACATCGAATCGATCCAGTCCAGCCATTGGTCCCTTTGTTCAGTGTCTTCGGACCAAAAAAATAACCCACCTATGCCGCGAAGTTCCACGGCGATCGGCTTGGCCGACTTGGGCTGCAATTGAATACTGATCGCACTGGTCTCTTTTGAGTGGTCTAGCGTTGGCAGTTCTTCTATAGAGGGCGGTGCCTTTACAACGACTCTGCGCTTGCAGGAGTCTGGGTGTCCGCGCAAGGCGCCGCGGCAGCGGTTTCATTGTTTTTGAAGCCCACTGGGCATTACGCCCCTGACCGTTGACGAAGGCACCCCCCTTATCGACGATTCCGCAATGGTGATTGTTTGTCTGGTTCTTGATGTTCATTTGCAGGGCCTATTTGGGGGGTCGGTTCTTGAGTTTTGATCCTAGCCCGCACATCGGTATACGCAAGTCCCTCGGAGGAACGGTTGAGCCTGAGGGTGGCGAAGAAGCCGATTGTCAACATGTTGCTGGGTATTTGTTTGCAGTAGACAGCATTTCAAGATGACGGGCAACCAGACGCGCGCCCGCATTGAAGCACAGAACCCGACTCGGCTTGCCCTCGGCCTTAGATGATAAACTCAGTTCTTGCCCAGCAGCCAGGACTCCTCAATGGCTTGTGAAGTGACCTCCTTTTGGCTATTTGGGTGGGGGCATTTGACAGTAGGGACAATACAAGTGGCAATACTTGTGGTCTGCATCAGGCCCATAGAGCATGTCCCCTTACTGATGGACAGCATCCAGCACCAGCCGGCAGGTGTTGTTTTTCCCGCGTCCCCTCTGGAGCGAAGTTCATCTTGCCCCTTCGTAGGGGGGATATACAGGCCACGGGCCAGCCGCACCCACACAATCCATGTAGGGAGGTGGGTAAATATTGGCATCAAAGCTCTGCGTCATCTAACCTTCCCAGGGGGTCGGCGGAGAACATCAGAAAACGTACTTGGTGAGACTGTCCGGCACGGCCAGGAAAACATATCTATGCATATACCTCCCAGGAAATCAAAGGTTAAATTGTTTGAAGTACCAAACTGTTTGAAGCCATCCAGCCTCTGTAGGTAAGCCAATCGAAGACCAAGCAATCTTCATCCTTCAACTTTTGAGGACCATGATTATTTCCCCAGACTGGCTGACTGCAACCATTTGCTTTCCCGAGCCCGCATTAAAAAAAAAAACCAAAAAACAAAAAAAAAACGTGTAAAACATGGAGGGACCAGCGGGTCGGGTCATCGACCCGCGACGCGTCGCCCTCTACGCGTAGGCCATCCCGGGGCTGGTGAGCTTCTTGGAGGACTCCACGGACTCGGAGATGGCCAGTGAGGCGACGGAGCTGAGAGCTGAGAGCAGCATTCCGGAGCTGGGGAGATGCATGTGGGGTGCTTGGGGGTTGGGCGGGTTGGGGGGTTGGGGGGTTGTTTGCTGGGTTGGGGGGGTTGGGGGGGTTGGTTGGGGGGGGGCGGTGTGGGGGCGGTTGAGGATTGGGGGCTTGGGAGGGTTTTGTTTGCCCCCTGCTTTTGTATGTTTTTGCAAGGGGGACCTAATGAATCAAGGAGCTGCCAGGAATTATTTGGGGTGTTCTCAGAATGCAAGGTCGGTCCTGATGCGTTTGGCTGGTGTCAAGAAACAAAAAGGATACCAAAAGGAAACCGATAAGGGGTCTCTAATGTTGAGAAACACCCATTTAGTTCGCCCTTTCGTTCCAAGAGGGAGCGAATGAATTGAAGGAGCTAGGCACATGGTTTAAGAGGGAGCCAACTAAGGAGTTACCAGTTCTGGATCAAGGGCGAGGTCAAGGATGACATTGGACCACCATGTACCCACGAACCAGCAAAACGAGCAAACCAGCCACACACCGGTCTGGCCTCCTTTTTAGAGGATACCCTTCTTGGGTATGGCTTAAAGGGAAAGAGTTGGAAAACCGTTTGGGTTGGCTCTCCTTTGAGAATCCGTTTTGCGGATACATTGGGCCAATTTAGGAGGAGCATGGATGCGCAAATTGGGCCAATTTGGTAGGAAAATGGACGCGCGAGGGGGACTCACATTTGAATTTGTCCCCTGTTCTTTGTGTACAGAACGTGTAGGTTGACTGTGTTTGATGTGGCTGTGTTGTTTGAGGGGAACCCTTTTCGAGTTTCGGAAGGTACCCTTTTCTTTAAGAAACACTGCATGCACTTGATAGGTCCCCTTCAAGAGGAACATGATCTTCCAGACACTTTCCACAGGTGCGATGTGGGTTGTTTCAAAGGGGGCGAAACGGTGCAGTTTATAGGGGTCAGGGTGAATTCACCTGACTCGGGTCTCGCGGGAATTCGACCTCTCATTTGGGCTGACTGAGATTTTAGTTGGACGTAATGGGAACCCCGGACGAATAAACCCCTGGTGAATTTTCCACTTGGGATTCATCACTTTTCACGAAAGCTAGCTTTAGCTAGCTGAAGTTTCTCCTTGCGTAAGCAAGGTAAGGGGCTCAAATGCCGAAAGATTGATTTTTTCAATTATTTGAGCCGAAAAGATTGAAAAACATCAATTATTTAGACCCCCCCCCCCCTCCCCCCCCCCTCAGGCTCGATTCCTCCCTGGTCCATCCCCCCCCCCCCGGGCAGTGGCTCAGTGTTCAGCAGTCTCGGTTTGCCCGTTTTGGACTTGGTGCTACGAACTTTTACATGTTCCACCGATTCAGCTTGTTCATTTGAGACCTCAGTCTTCTCGGTAAACCACCTCGCAAGAATCTTTGCACGCAGCATGCAGAACCCAGAGGTGCTTTAAGACAGCTTCTGACGCCTCTCGTTGTTCATTTTTCAAGGTTTGCCACGCCACCATGTGCGTTTGCGTGTCGCATCCTACGAATCTTGCCGGGCCTCTCGTTGTACACAAGCTACCTATGAATCCACTCTGTCACCGACCCATCTCATGCAACAACTGCTAGCTTTCGTTCACCCGCTCCTCAAGTGGCGGGGAACACCCCCCTATCAATAAAACCAGTTTAGTAATCCAGGTCAACATTGATTGGGTATTCTCTTGATCCACTGACTCAACCCTTTGGGCGGCCCCAGCACCATGGCCAGGACTGCTGGACGGAGGAGGAGTCGACGGAACGCTGCTGCGGCTTCCGGTTTCTGGGCCGCCCTGTCAGCCACGTGGCACACAGAGGGGGGCTGGAGTAATGACGCCCTAAGCATCATGCATAATCGGTCGGACCCTCCATTGGAGAGGTGGGGACCTCCATTTCAAGTGTGGATTTTCCACTAGCAGAGAATGAGGACCGTGGAGACAAACAAGCAGCCCGGACTTTTTTGGGCCCAACAATCTGCCCTTTATGCTAGTCCAATCCACGTAAGCCTTGATTTATGGGAACCCCCAAGGTTGCCTTCTGTGACAACCAAAAGTCTGTGTGTGGTGTGGTGTGGTGTGGTGTGGTGTGGTGTGGTGTGGTGTGGGGTGGGGTGGGGTGGGGTGGGGTGGGGTGGGGTGGGGTGGGGTGGGGTGTGTGTGTGTGGTGCGGTGTGTTGTTTTGTTGGTTTGTTGGTTTGTTGGTTTGTTGGTTTGTTGTGAGTGTGGTGTGGTTGGTGTGGTTGGTGTGGTTGTGTGTGTGTGAGTGAGAGTGTGTGTGTGTGTGTGTGGGTGTGTGGGTGTGTGGGTGTGTGGGTGTGTGGGTGTGTGGGTGTGCGGGGGTGCGGGGGTGCGGGGGTGTGCGGGGTGGGGTGCAGGGTGCGGTGCGGGGGTGGTGCGGTGCGGTGCGGGGGTGCGGGGGTGCGGGGGTGCGGGGGTGCGGGGGTGCGGGGGTGCGGGGGTGCGGGGGTGCGGGGGTGCGGGGGTGCGGGGGTGCGGGGGTGCGGGGGTGCGGGGGTGCGGGGGTGCGGGTGTGTGTGTGTGTGTGTGCGTGTGCGTGCGTGTGTGTGTGTGTGTGTGTGTGTGTGTGTGTGTGTGTGTGTGTGTGTGTGTGTGTGTGTGTGTGTGTTCTCCCGTTTCTTTTGATTCGTTATCGACCCTTATTCTAGATGGATGTGGGTGCGCCCAAATGTCAGGGATGCAGGGGGCCATTTGCGTTTCGCCTGAACGCCGTGCGACCAATGCCGCGGAGGGAGGGTGCGCTTGCTCAAAGTGAACCCGGCATTTTGAACTTTCGCTCGGGTTCAAGTCATTGTCTCGAAAGATCCCGTTTCATCCCGTTTCCTTGTTGGGTATTTGAGTTGTCTTAGATTTCAGGCCACCAATCTTGGGTTTCCTTGTCTGCGTAGTGCCCGGCCTGGTGCTTGTTTCCTTACAACTGAACCCAACTTTGTAGACATTTGTCCGAAGCAACTTGAGCTGTGAATCCTTCTTGAAAGTGGGGCTGTTCATCTTCTCAGATGCTGGCGTCAGATCCGTGGCCGAGTTGTTCCGCGGGGCCTATGGCCACGGTTGCCCACTGGCCGGGTCTTGTGCACCAGCTTTCCTGAAATTTGAAGCTTTTGGCGTGATTTGTCGTCCTCAATCCTTTCCCGTGGCTTCGCTTGGCTAAAGAAAACACCACAACCACACACACATTTGTTTCGCAGTTCAGCGGCTTGTGCCGCATGCGGAGCGGCATCTTGTGTGTGTGACTGTGTGTCATTACCACGCCCACACGTGCCCTGCATGAGTCATTTCAGATCACCCCTAGTTGTTTGAATTGACTTGGGATTTGACCCCCCAAACCAAAGGGTGAAGACAACGTCCAAACCACCAAATCTGAAGACACCCAGAGCGATGGTTGGCGGCGCCCACGCATTAATACTGTCACACCAGGCGCAGATGGCACTTGGCGCCTGCTTTCCGCTGCCCTGTTGCGTACATGTGCTTACGATCAGCGCTGACTAATTTACTGCGTTAAACGGCTCCGGGTTCCAACAAACAAACGATTTGTTTTGTTCCGCGTGGAATTTGGAGACAGCCAAGGCAAGAATTACGTGCAGATTATGCCTGCGGAGGGGGATGCTGCAGGGATTTGGCAGGACCGGCTAGTCGACCAGGCCCTCGGAAATTCTGGTTGAACCATTCAAGCCACACTTTGAGCAGCGTTCACTCTCAAGAAGCCAGCCAGACAATAATGTATGAAAGGCTCAGATTGTCAAGCTTCTCATTCAAAAGGCGTGGGGGAGAGACTTTGAGGCATGTAGGTGTGTTGACCTCGCTGCCATACAATGGCCGCGCTTGAAGCTCACCTGTTGCCTGCGGCTCAGTTGGCCCGGCACTGGATTCCTGTCGCATGCCCTGTTCAGTGTTGTCGAATGGTCCCGTTCTCAACCTTCGCAGCCGTTCTGAACGCCGCCGCCTTCTCTAAGTCCAGGTGACCACCCGATGGGTGGCACCATCCAACTCCGCCAAGCCACTAATCGGGGCAATGAGCGGCTTCCCAATGGTCGGATCAGGAGATCCAGGCTGGCGCCGCGAGGCTGGCCAAAGGCGGGAATTATCAGCTTGATGTGGTCAGGGGAAGCCTGGAACTTGCTCGTGTTTTGCGGATCTATCAACCCTTCGGTCAGGGGAAGCCTGGAAGTTCCCTTTTCTTTGGGAGCCTAAAGTGTCAGTTTAACATGGGAAGCCTCTAGTAGATGGATGGATGGAAGGGGACATGCAGCGATTTTTCTACCATGGCTATAGTGCCAACTTTGCAAGAAGGACCCGACTGGTCAGAGGAGCCGACAAACATAGATCAGCTACTTGCTAAACGGGGAAATCGTTCTTGATTACGTAGTAAATATTAGTAAGGTTCGCCGGGTTATTCCCCAGTTAACATTCATCAGTATGGAAAATGAGTTTCATGGCAACTTTCTGTGATACCAGAAAAATCCCCTTCACCGTGACCGTGGAGAGGTCACAGGAAGTGCGATTTTCCACCACCATGTGCGCTACTTCTCCCCCTGTTTGGAAGATCATGTCATTGGCGGTCGGTCAACAATTGTTGAACCATCATGGACTGTTTGAGATTGAAACCGTACTGTATGGGACAGATGTTGGAAGCCACGCCGGATACACAAGCCTTTTGGGGGAACTTGCTGGTTGCTCAAGCAACCGCATGGTTTCATGTTAGTCCGATCGCTTCCTTTCGGGCCGCCTTTGCGTGAAACCCTGGGGCTGCCGGCACCCGGAAATTTTGAGGTGAACATTCAAGGTGCAACTTGATTGTCGAAAAGTAGAGCGTTTTCTTGGCGGTTCCGAGCCATACCCTTAAAACATCTACTATTACAGGTGTTTACCACATATCCTACTAAGTAGGCACTTTGGGCAATGAATCAAGGAAGCACCAAGTGCCACATCTCGGTCTCTAGCCCTGGACTTGGGCCTTGAAGTGGGGACTCATTCCTGTCGTTTCCTCGCAGGCTAAGGGCCAGTCGCCTCGAGGCGATTTTCCATATGTCTTGGGGAAGCTTGCAAAAAGTCTGCAATGCATGTATGGTGCAGATTTGATTCCGGGGATAGCACATTGGCCAACGGAGCTTTTTCTGGTTCAGTGCACCTTGCCTTTTCTCATTTGTGGGAAACATGCTGCAGTGAGTGGCCCGGTATCCAGGCTAAATAGACCTAAAGAACTGCACATCTTGGCCGCGCTTCGCGAACCTCGCAAAAAAAGTGTGTTGTCTCCTCAAGGTCCCTTCGGGATGGCCACCCATGGAACCTGAGGTTCCGTTTCCCCCACCCTTCGCCCACTCCACCCAACCGGCGGGGTAATTCCGAGAGATTGGTTGCCGCGGCCGCCAGGCTGGACCGCGGCCCGGCCGCAGAGCCAGCCTCCCGGGGAGAAAGCTCCAGGCGCGGACGGGGAACTCGTGGCCGGTGGACCCAATCGCCCCCGAGGCACCTTTTCTAGGTCCCCCAGTAGTGCCCTCTAACTTTAACCGTATTCTGTTGTGGAGGAGGGTCCCTTCTAAAATAGACTGCAGAAAAAAGGGGTGCCCTTATTCTAACCTCTCTACTGGAGGACCTAGTTTTGGAAACAACCGGGTCCCATTCAGGAAGGTGATCGACCTTATCTTGAAGAGCCGGTCCAAAAGTGGGTTGCTTGTCAACCCAAGGAAACCCCCAAAAGGTCATATTGGCCCCTTTCAGCGGAAAATTGCCCAAACCAGGACTTTTCGGCTAGGTTAGGAGGGTATGGGCCAGGCTTGTGTTGGGTCATTTTGGTTGGAATAGGTGGATCTAGTCTGTGCCTAGTATTTAAAACAAAAACATAGTTCAATGGTCGTCTATCAAGTTTCCCTTGCACATGCGGGATGACATCTTTGACAGTGAAGTAATGGGACCATCTGGTTTAGTTCGCTAGTTTGCTTCTATTGATTTATCAATGACACCCGGGGGGTGTGACCCTTTGTTAACTTTTGCCGTGGGCTTTCGGCTGGGCCAGCCTCCAACTATATACTTTATGGACGGCACTCGGGCCTAGGGGCCCCCAGTCGCGTTGCTGGGGATCCAGGCATGGGGCAACCAGGACGGTTTTCCAAAACCTTGAGTTTGGATCCTGCCGGGATTTTCGTTCATTCATTCTTGGGTCCACCTGGCCATGGGGCACAACCTATGGCTCCACTTTGGGGTGGATGAACATCCATTTGTCCCCTATTTTGATGTTCACCAGGAGTACAGGGTTTTGACCCACAGCCAGCTGAACATCCTGTGGGTGCACTGCTACACCCATTCATTTCTATCGTATGACCCACCCCCATTTTACAACCCCCCCTCACCTCCCCCTTCTCGGAGACAACACCACGGGTAAGTGAAGGTTAGTACTGGACAGTCCCAACCATAAATGACCGCCCTGTTACCATGGTAAACCGTTTCAGTACCAGCTGTTTCATTGGAACCCCCCTTGCTTGCGCCAAAGTCCTCAAAGCCTTAGGCCTTCTTAAGGCCTTTTGTGAAAGAAGCACGAAAAAGGGGACACCCTCTGTCCTGCAAGTATTCTAAGTGGCTCCTGCTTGTTTGCCCGGGCTGTGCTAGTATGCCCTGAATATCAGTGGGCACCTTAAGTCAAGACCCTCTGGAGGCAATGGCAGAGAGAGAGATTCAAGTGGACGTAGGAGTCCTTTAAGAGGAACATCTCGTCTCCCCGGCCGTCAGCGCAATTTTCGCAGGGCCCAAGCCGCGAAGGGCCAGCAGCCGGCCTGTGACGACACCCAGGCACCGAAACCTTTGACCTGAGGCCGCTTCACCTAAGACGGGTTTGCCTGTTTCGGTTTAGCTGGAGTCGCTCCGGGCGGTTTGGCCAGAAGCTTCTTTCCAGGTGCTTTGGGCAGGTGAGCTATGCAAGTTCTTAGCAGGAAGACCCCCAAACCCGCTGTTTCTTCCTGCACATCGGCACGCAGCCCGCAAAAACCCGTCAATAGTTGGAGGAACTGCCTTTGGGGGACACTCCCTTGGAACTGAGGACCCATGTTGGGGTTCCGCGTTGATTCGTGGCAGGGAGTGTTGACATGTTCAGGGATTTAGTTGTTGAGATTGTGTGCTCCTTGTGGCATGCGGATTTTGGGTGCCAGTGCCCTTGATATTCAGTAAGACCGCAAACTAAGCCATGCGTCAACATGTTCAGTTTCGGCGCAAGGACCCTCCGGCGTTTGGATCTCTGGAATGGTTCGGACCCCGGTTGAAAGCTTTCAGGTTCCAATTTGTTTGGTTTGGATTGGTGCGGGGATTTGGGTTAGGTCTTGTTGTGAAGGGTAAATGGGACAACTTTCGAGGAACCAGTCGTTTTTGGGAGTCCCCCTTATTTGGAGACAAAATCTCTGCAATCTGAATAAAGTTGTTCCAAAGGGAGAACAAAAGCAGAACAATTCCGGTACGTGATGCGAGTCCCACTTGACACCCAGCAATGCCTCGGCGCCTCGCTTCGCCCTACCGGTCAGGGCAAAGCGGAGCTTAACACCGGCATGCCAGATGCTGGGCGAGCAAGCGGGCCTCAGAGGTTGGACATGGATTCCACCGAGTTTGGCTTAACCGTAAAGTTTAATCACCAGTCAGGGGAAGCAGATAGTTTTGGTTGGGTTCTAATCTCAGGTAACCCTTGGTTGGCGGCTTCACCCAATCCAAACCACCAGTCAGGAGGAAGCGGATAATCAATTACCCGCCCTCCCACCATGATACCTGACAAATTGCACATGCTCCTGCAAGAGGAAATTGACCAGAGAGGTAGCTGCCATGGCGGGAGAAGGTGCACCAGTATGCTGCAGATGTATATGTTTATTCAAAAATGTATTGATATGTCTGTAAATGCGCGCTTACTTTGCTTGTGTTGTGAGTAGAAAAACTGTAGCTCATCTCCTTAGACGGAGAAGCCAGCAGGTTTTTGTGAAGGTGAGCCTGAGCATTGTTTGGGACCTGGTCCCGTCATGCTAGCAAAGGCTTAAGTGTATCCGCAGCCCCAAGAAGAGCCACCCCACACGTTGCAATTCTGCATGGCGGAGCCTAAGTTGAAGTGACTAAGGCAGGGCTTGCAATGTTAGACGAGATTGGCGGGATGATCGTATCGCGTTTGGACTGGCCATTGAAATAGCCAGTGAGAGCAGGAAACTCAGAAAGCCCAACTCACCCTCTGGTGCGCTTGGTGGGAGGGAATGAGGTAGGAGTAACTTGATGTAATTTGTCTTAATCTCCCCCCCAACCCCCCCCCCAAAAAAAAAAAAAGAAGAAGCAACGACGAAGGAAATGTCACACGTTTTGTGCGCTGTGCGTGTTGGGGAGTAATTGTCCCTATTTGTTCTGAATTGTCCTTAACTTTCCTTACTTGGCAGTGACATACCTATTGTTGTTCCTGTGTATTTCCCTTTCACGTGATAGCTGGCCAAATTGTGTGCGTATCCTACTACTATGTAGGGTGCTATGTTATAAACATATTTTATTTGATGTTGAGACACGGTTGCAAGACATGTGCTTGGCATGCCCACTCCATGCCAAGTCCAGCAAGATCATATATGCCAGGGCTTTTTTGTTAGAAGCACAGTACTGCACCAATTATCAAGACCTGGTTAGTTTGCTTTTGTGGCCGCTAAGTGGCTGGCTTGGAGTGGTTCTTATGACAAAGCGTCAGGCAAGAGTACGTACAGGCCGTATTTCCGTTGGAACCCGCTGCCTTTTCTGTGCGAGTTGATTCTCCCTGGTGTTTCAACCTCCATTCAAACAGCTCACCGTTTCATCATTCAACTTGGGCCACTCTCTGTGGCTCAAGAATTATTTGAATGGGGGTTGAACCCTGGGGTTCTGCAGTCGAGGAACCAGCGAAGGGACGCGCTTCCTATGAGAGCTGCACAGGTGGCATATTGACGGCCTCCGGAGAAATGCACCCGGGGATGTGTCAAAAGATTCGGTTTTGGTTAGGCCCCGAACACCGGGGGCTTCAACAAAAAGGCAGCACGGAGGATGCTACATTTTGACACATTCCCACTTATCCATGGTAGCGGGGCTGCGGTGCGGGCGAATGGATTGAGCTTCTCGCTGATGTTGACCAGAGTTCTAAACTTGTCCCAAGAATTGGGGGGGGGGAGGTCCCCCACTAAAAGGGTACAAAGCCGGGGTTCCCATTCAGTTTTCACTTGCTGTTCAATTCACTGCCTGGATCTGGGGGGTCAATGACGTTGTACCCCCGCAGATTAGCATGGAACCATAATGAAACCCGATCATTGTTAGGGAGCAGTCTCGTTTGTTTGGAGGGCGCCCTTCTGGCGGTCTCATCCTTCTTTTTCACCTGTCACTGCAGCTCGGCGCCCTGAATCGTCGAAGCGGCAAGCCCCAGCCACGCCTTTCCCGTGGGGGTGTCTCTGAACTCATTCGGTGTATCAGGGGCTGCCTCTTTTGGAGGGTACGCTGTTGGACAAAAATGGTTTTGAATGCGAGGCCCAACGAACATGTTATGGGGCAAAAAACCCATGCGGGGGATGTTCCAAAATGGGAACGCCCCAATGGCAACCCTTGCTTTTTGGGCTGTCCTTCCCATCCAAGAGAGGGTCTCGAAGTGTCCAGACATCCCAATATAGGCAGCACTACTTTAGATAAACATGCCTGCCTTGATCACCCGGGCAGGCACCTCAGCCACACAGGCGTTCTGCGCCGGGATGAAAAATGCCTGCCTAAAATGCAGCAGGCTCACCCCACTTGGGGTGAAATTAAAATGAACAAAGAGTGCAACGGTACCAAACGAGTTTTCCAAGAGGATTATAAGGAGGAAACAACAATGCTTGTTTTTTTCCAGCATGAACGAAGACATCAACGTCTATGTTCCCGCTTTCGGCTTTGGCTCTGGGGCTCTGCTCGGTCACGTCACTCGGTGTCACCCTCCAAGAGGGCGGCTTCCGAATCGCCCCCGGTGGCCAAGCGGCCCCACGGCCTTGTAGCGGGCATCTTTGGAGAATCTTTTGCTTCACCGCAGATGCGCGCTTTCGGAAAAACACCATGAAACATCGTGAAACACCCAAGTGGCCGTTGGACGGTGGTTTTGAGACGGTCTTTGGTCTCGTGTTTCGATTGAAGTCCCTCGAGGTCGATTTGTTTTCTTGAATCAAAGGAGCCCTCCAATGTCCAACAAGACCTGCGAGGCACTTGGGCACTCGGGGCCCTTAGCGTCGGAATTTCAACCCGACTAGCACCGGCGAGCGATTCCCGCCATCGCCTGTCCCAAGACAGCTGGCAGGGACATGCATCTTTAGAGCAAGCTCTCCGCAGGGGACAAATCGAAAGTAGCCGGGAATACACGTGTGCGTGTGTGCATGCGTGACATCGGTGTTGTGCCAGCAGGGTATCAGGAGGATAATATTTGCAGATCAATGAGCTTGTGGGTGTTGTGATGCATTATACAGGTGTTCTTTGTTTGTTTGCGTGCGGGCGCGTATGCATGTATGTGTGTGTGTGTGTTGGCTAGTTGGCCAGTTTAGGTTGCCGGCTTTTCCCCTTCTGCTGACAGACATTATGCACCACTCTCCTTTTTATAGCCTTGCATGCTTTGTGGGAGCGCTTTACCAAGAGTGGTAGTTTCCATTTAACACACCACTTTGTTGCTTTAGCTTGAAAGTGTTTTCCGACTTTTCACAGGATGCATTATGCACCACTTTGTTGACCGTGCACCACTGAGGTTGCGCCGGTGGGCTTCGGTAAGGATTTGCATGCAAACATGACCATCTGGTTGACACCGGGATCTTGGAGCAACTCCATTGTCGAGTTCAATGCACCTTCTCAGTGTCCTCTCTTCGCTAGCTCGTTGGATGCGACCCTGAATGAACAAGCAGTTCGCTTTCTTGGAGCCCCACTCCCTGAGTCCTTGGACTTTTAACCTTTCGTAAATAAATGTAAATAACAACAGTTCAGACTTTTTGTGGCCAGTCTCAGGAAATGAGGAGAGGGGGGTCTGGGGGCAAAAAGAAGAAAACAACCGGCCAAGCACGGCTGAGGTGCAGGCAGCGAAGCCCGCGGTGCTCTGGAGGCGGAGGGTGGACTTCCCCTGTGTTCGGGGGACTTATCGTAGGCACTGCATGGCGTTGGTTTCGAAATCGAAGTTCTCATTTCGCACCACCGTTCTAAGAAATCAGCACAAGCGACCATCTTGCTGGTAGTTGAAATGGGGAGCAACGGTAACGTCCCGTGTGCTTCGTTTGTACCTAGAGCTCACCGCACAAATCCAGAATCCAAGGGGGGGTGGGGGCGCGAAAAAACGGTGTGCTGAGCCAAAAGCCCAGAGGCAGCCGCGAAGCAACACCTAGCTGGAGCGGGGCTGCCCAGAGGTTACGTTGGGGACTCCATCAATGCAGTTGGTGTTATACATGCATTTCAGGGCTTGAAGCGGCAAAGTAACACGCCCCGCAATGCTTTGGATACTTCTGAAACCCATGACATTCCTTGACCCTTTAAGAGTGTACTGCATGCGAGACCCCACTTGTCCAGTGGGTTCTGCCCTCGTCTTTCCCTGTCGCAGGGTGTTTTAGATCAGCCGAGGGAGGACAGCTCTTCTCCATGACTGGGCAAGTGTGCCATGGCAGGGTGCAGCGTGTCTCGAGCGGCTTCAAGCAAACGCCCATTCAGTGACCGAGCGCTGCAGTGGCATTCCTGCGCAGCCCCACGGCCATTGGCTTGGGCAAGGAGAAGAAAGTGGTTCTCACACGGCTGTGGCTCAACAGATGGCACCCAAAATTGGCACCTTGGAAAAGGAGAAGGCCAAAACGGGCGTAACCCTAGCTCTTCAGAGCCACACACACACACACACACTCGGCTTGCCCTGCGTCATGATAAGTTTAATTTCGGATGCCCTGCCCCTGCACCTTGCTGATATGGTGTGCAGTATCGAAAAACAAAGCAGAGGATGACATACCCGCTGAATTGTTGCACCCGCCTACTGCGGCAGCCAGCAAAACTGCCGACTGCCGACCATCCTTGCAAGGATCGTTCTACATGGAATCGTCAACCCATCGATTGGGCAGGAGAAAAAGTCAGGGAAGTCCGAGTTGGGGGGTTCTGGATGTGTGGCTTGCGAATTTAGAATCCTGGCTCTTGTAGACGTTAAATGGCAAACCACACTGGAACACCCCCAAACCACCAATCCAAAATACTATTTGGAGACAAGCCCTCAGCGCCTGATGAAAAAGCTGAGGCCAAGTTCAAGAAGATCTCCGGCCACACGGATGCGCCTCAGCTGGAACCAGCTGACCAAGGTCTCCCTGTAAAAGCCATTGGGGAAGCAGCTGGTTCCCTCGGGGCAACTGGGATTTGGGGAGAAAGCCCGGGAAGGTGTAGCATGGACCCAGGTTGTGAGGACCTTACGGTCCTGACGGGTTGTTTAATCCCCTTCAAGATAAAACACAAAAGGAAAAGGGGGGAAAACAAAACAACAGCTGGGCACCGGGGGAAGCCCTAGCAGCCCTAGCAGACCAGGAGTAACTGTTGAAATAACTGGGGGACGTCTCAAAATGGTCGCCTTTGTGAGGTCCCAAACTGTCCTTCCAACCAAGGTCCGGGCCTCTCCGATCCCGGTTAACGCAAAGTCTTGGAGTCGGGGACCCCCCCCTTGTTTTGGGAAAATCGAAGTGGAGGACGTCAATGTGTGCAAACGCCTCGAAACTTGGCAGGCAGGAATGTGAGAGCACGGGCATGTTTTTAGTCCCAAGTATTTCAGAAACCAGCGAAGCCTGGAATGTCTACATTGGTCATATATATATATATATATATCCACCAAACGGGTTTGGAGAGTGAGGTTGCTTAGATATTTGCCCTCCCAGCCCCCCCCCCCCGACCCCCCCGGCTCGCTCCCCGCATTCCCGCTTCGTTCCCTACGCTGAGGTGGTAGACCACCTGAATGATGACCCTGCCCGGCGCCGAAGATTGCCACACGCTTTTTCCAGTGGGATCTCGGGGTCTCCGGATTTTTGTTTGCCCAAGGCTCATTGCTCAAATTCCTCCAGAGAGAGCTGAGGTAGACTGCTTGGATTGAGGTTTATGCGAGGCTCCATTGGTCGGACAGAATGTCCTAAGGGATACTCTTCGAAAGCCCAACGTAGCAGGTACATTCCCAACTGGGCGGCCTGGAAGAGGTGATGTGCCCTGATGTAGGGCCCCGTGAGTGGACAGTTACCAAGAAAGGTCTGAGTCAAGTTGTTGCTATCGTTTTGCCTTCCCACTGCATGCTAGTTTGCAGGCCGCATTGATGGACAAGTGTGTCGCACATATCCCTCGGCGGGCAAATGTCGCACTCGCTGAGACAACGCCCTACGTCTACTTTGAGATTCCAGGAGACCTCACTGCCAAAGGCTTGGGCTAACTGTCGCCAGTTTGCACGGCATTGGTTTGGGGCGGGGCCGGGGGTGCGCTGAGTTGCCCAAAGTCAATCAACCTGTTTCAAGCTTTTGTTTGTCCCTTGGTGGATTCGCAGGGTAGCCCTCATTTCCAGGCCTTTGCTCTAGTTTCTCCATCCAAGAATCCAAGGTGTGTTCTTCACTAGAACGGCGGCGTGTTGAAGGTTTGGGAGTGGTCTCCGTGAAGGCGTGCGCGGAAGGGACAGTGGCGTTTGCCTCGAAGAAGGGCACGTTCGCCGATCTTTGGACTCCAGTATAAGAGAGCCCATGGGGGTCGCCGTGAGGGGTTTGGATTTCAGGCAGTTTCAGGCACAAAACAGACCACAGCCCGATAAACCGGACGTGCTGAGGGGTGTGCGCCAACCAAAAAAAAGCAGAACCGGCCGCCAAGCAGTAGGCTCATGCATTGGTCAACTTCAGTTTGAAGCCCCGTGGGGCTGGAAGGGTCTACCATGAGCCTATGGCTCACATGCATTCGAGGCCTTTATGAGG